CTCCTAGCGAGTATATAATTTGGTGTCTGTCCGTTTGTCCGTTAGCACGACATCTCGAAAACGAATGAGACGATTACGATGAAATTTTGCAGGTAGTATCAAATTTGTCGATCAGAGGTCGTGAATTGGTACTGTAGCCCAAAAAATAATGAAGGCCCTTTTGACATCTCCGTTAGTTATGAACTGAATTGCATGAAATATGGACTTTAACTTTAGCAATATAATACGCAATGGCAAAAGTTGAGCCTAATCGATTCAAAATTCATAGTGCTCTTTTGGTATCTCCGTTAGTTATGGATCGAATTGCAAACTTTTTTATTTATAAATGTATTTAAATGACATGTGATATATTTGATGCACTTGGAATAAAAGCAGATGTAACGCCATTTTCAAAATTTGGTTTAGCGCATGCGCAGTGCCAACTTTCATATTTATTTATTTTCTTATGAACATAACAGGTTACCCAAATAACAATGTTCATGTATTGTTAATAAAAAAAGTATTCGACAACATAAAGAATATAAAAAAATATATGTTAGGATTATTAAAATAAAAAAAAAACAAAAAAAGGAATAAAAAGAAAAACAATGCTGTGAACAATTTTTTACGGTCCTTGGATATTGTCACACGATCTTGCAAACTGTCTTAGGGACATATAAAAATACCTATGGTGTTCTTCCATGCACGCACACTACTATAAAGATGAAGGCATTTTAATGAAATTTTATACATATATGCACTTGGAATAAAAGCAAATCTAGCACCAGGTTCAAAATTTGGTTTTGCACATACTATAATAGCCATAGCCAAGAGCTCGTTTGCTATAATTTTACACGTTTATTTTTACCCATATAATAATACACTATCAGAAGGGCGCGAAGCAAAGCACTATAATTCCGCAAAAGTACGGTTTGGCCAGGATGTCATTTCACTCAACAAAATCAAAAAATCAAACTTCAACAAATTAGAGACAAGCTGAAATTTGGCAAGGGACTTTGTTATAAGGGTCTAAATATCCTCTGAAACCCCAGCGTCGAGACGTTGAGCCCGTCGACCTAAAACAACCCCCTAAGTGAGATAAAATCTACCTTTTTTTAAATTTTTCTTAACAACTCTAAAATTAAGCATTTTAAGAAAAAATGTCAAGCGAGAATTGTAGAGAAAAAAATTTGCTACTACATACGTATACATCAAATTTGTTAGATGTTCAGTGGCCCAAATTTCAGCAACTCATTCAACTACTTAATCGAAATACTATAGTATTTCCTAATATTACTATAAAACGCCGGAAACTGTTCAGGTTGCCTACAACATGATGAATTCAATACCGCCTGCAAGGGGGTCTTCGAAGTGACCCCCCATAACTTTCAGCAACCACCCCCCACCCCAATCGTGGGCGTCTCGACTTTTCCGGCAGCTCATCCTCCGTTTAGTTTCTACTTGCAGTTAGTGTTGCCGTGAAAAGTCAATATTTTCCAAACTCTCCTTTTTTATCGCATTTTTGCCAATTTTTCAGTGTTTTTCTATCTTCTTCTATAGTTTGGGTCCGATTGTTTTCAAATTGGTGTCGTCGGAGAGATCTTGTAGACGCGCCGAACTCCTGCGTGACGACATATTGCTTTTTCGGAGAGGCGAAATAAACCAACCTTTTGCAAGGCGCGCATGTTTGAGGGGTAATGGGCTTGGGTCGCCCAAAAGTTGCCTTTCGGATAAAAAATTGTACTTGCAAAATTTTTCTAAAGGAAAACTAAAAAAACTGTTCACTTTAGAAAAATTTTGTAAGTGCATCTTTTTGTCCGTTTTTTATGTTCTTTCCATTTATGCATAGTAAAGATATAACGGGTTCTCCAATAAGAGGTTATATTTTGAATAGCCCGCTATTTCGGTAGATGTCGGTTTTGGAGCTGTCATTTTTTGACATTAGACAAGTAGAAACTACGCCATTAATAAAAATGGAACGATTCACGCTTCAACACAAACACAAACAACGGAACCATTGATCTTTTACGGGAAAAGTTTCCGGGCCGTGTCATCTCTCGAAGAGGTGATCACAATTGGCCACCTCCTTCCTTTGGGGCCACGTGAAAGACAAGGTCTACGCCAACAGCCCAGCATCGATTCAAGCCCTCAAAGATGGAATTCGTGAGGCTATCGAGGACATAGGGCAGCCACTTTGCGATTTGGTTATGGAAAATTTAATGAAAAGGATATGGTCCTGTAGGCGTGGTCCTGGTGGTCATTTAGCTGATGTTATTTTCCATTATTAACGGCATACCTTCCTCTTTATAATCTAATAAACATCCGATCATTTATCTTAAAAAATGGCATTTTCCTTGGAATATCAAAATAACACCTCTTATTGGAAAACCCGTTGGTTTCCATTTGAAAATTTCAAGTTTTTGATCAAAAACCGATTGTCAACTTTGAACGATTATTCGTATTATTTTCGAATCACATTTGAAAATCAGACCAATAACATTTAATAGCGTAGATTTTTAGCTGTCCATTCGTAAAAAAAACCATTTTGGTAAGTTGTCAGACAACCGTAATATGGCTAATTTACTGAACCTCTGAAACTGTGAAAAAATGTCAAAAATGTCAAATAACTTCGAAACCATGTCAGTTAAACATATCATCATATTGACAAAATCATACTGACTTTTTATGAGGAATTCAAAAATAGCATCAGAAAAGATAGTGCCGTTTGCAATAAGAAAGTTCCGGTATCGTTCTGATACAACCGGAAAAGCGACCATCTTGAAAATATGTTCAAATGATTCCTTTTGATCGATTATTCAAAAAAGGTAATGGATCCGGAATTAACATTCCAAACCGTTCCTGAGGTACTTCTAATGGTCCACTTAAAAACATGTATCAGATGGCATAGACACCAGTGACAAAATACGAAGTGGGGGGGGGGGCTACCTATACTTGGCCCGTCCCAAATGTGTTTTCGGATTGCTAAAAAAAGATAATGGCGCAAGAGTTATTATCGGTGGCGCGTGTGAGCGCATTACTTCATAATAAAACGACATCAAATCTCAAAAGGGGGGGGGGGCAGGGTTAACGCTCCTGAGTGCAAGTACGAACTAAACGAACTACGGAGAATGAGGTGCCGGAAAAGCCGATACGGCCGAGTTAGGGTTCACTTCGAAAACTCCCTTACAGGAGGCAGTATTCAATTCATCATGTTTTAGGCAACCATAGTGAATAGATTCCGGCGTTTAATAGTAATATTAGAAAATAAAATACCATATACCTAGTATTTCGATTAAGTAGTTGAATGAGTTGCTGACATTTTCGCCACTGAACATCTAAAAAATTTTATGTATACGTATGTGGTAACAAATTTTCTTCTCTACAATTTTTCTATCTTGACATTTTTTCTTAAAATGCTTCATTTTAGGGTTATTGAGCAAAATTTCAAAGAAGGTAAATTTTACGCCACTTAGGGGGTGGTTTTGAGGTGACGGGCTTCACGCATGGGCACCGTTGGGCCGGGTGTTCGAACCTGAACTGAGCTAAGAATTTTTCATCTTTGACAGAGATGGGAATTTCCTTAGATGAGTGTCGAGCATTCTGCCGGCTACTTCGAATTAGGTTTTCCTAATTCGTTAGGTAAATACCGAAATAGTATAGAACAACTTAAGACCTTCTGCAGAGGCACCACTAAAAATTATTATGCGGATCACTCTGTAATTGGGCGCAAGCCCGTTGAGAGCCCGGGACAAGAGAGGGATAATAAATATAGCAAATCATACATAGCGCCAATAATACTATGGACCCATTACTCTTGGTGTTGGTTTCTCTTTAAGGTACAGTTGATTGTCTTCTTCCATTCGGATACCTCTGCTAGCTTTTGTTGAAATATATCACGTGAAAGATTGATATATTTTATATACGGAATGCCATCTAACTTTTGAATATTAGTTTTGGTCGAGATCTTTCCTATACTATAGGACAAATTTGTAAGGTTGTTCCATGTGATATCGTCGTTTGAGTCTTAGGATTGTTACCGAAATGGTAAACATTGACAAATGGACAGTTCGATAAATTCTAATTGAAGATTGGAACGTGAAAAAGCGATCGGAAATGGCTCAAAAGATTTTAAGTGATGAGCAAAAAAATTTAGAAATGATTTATTGGCAATCTGGGAACTATCTCAGGGGAACCATATTTTTCCAAAAAAATGTGATAACTTGTGTAGAGGCATTGACTTTTCAATATGACCCCGAAATGAAGGATCGGTTGATATAACGGAAGACCGCTTAGAGCCAAAAACAAGCCAGTGAAATTTCAAGGAGATAATGATCGTTCGCGGCGTTATTCCGACCGACTGGGTTCCAGGGGGGCAACTGTCAATCAGTTGTACTCTTTAGAGGTTCTGAAAACCCTACGAAGAATGTTCAGAAAAGAGGCCAAGTGGGTTTCTCCATCAAGCCAAACGCACTTTGTCACACTGTGCTATGTTTGAAGCGATACTCTCTCGATTTGGCCCCGCGTGACATCTACCATACCCACAAATTTAATTGAACGTTGAAGCGGCCACTTTTTGAAACTTTGGAGACCGTAAGTGCTTGTTCACAATGGACATAAGCATAACAAAAACATAACAGATACATAATTCATAATGTTGAATAGTAGCAAACCAACGTATGTGTTCACAATGATTACATAATTTTTATTTTTTTGTAAATGTTTGCGTATCTTTTATGTCGTACCGAAACGGTACATAAAAATACATAAAGTTGGGTCGGTTTCAACTTTACGTAGGTTTTATGAAAAATCTAGTGGAATTAGGTGTATTTCTGTTGGGTACAAAGATGCAGCACTGCGCTGTTGGTTTGACATTTCAGTTACTATACGTCTAACGTTGATGACATCTCTTCTGCCAACATAATCTGGTAATTTTGAAATTGGTACATAGTTTTTGGCGGATTATTTCATAGTTTGGTGTGGTTTGGTCGTTCGTGCGTTATTCTTTGATTATCCAACCCGACATGGAAAATATAGACGTCGAATTACTAATTAGTTTGGTGCGATTAAAACCCTATTTATTTAATAAAGGGGACAAAAGATATAAGGACCTTGTCCTGAAGGAGAACGCGTGGAAGGAAATAGCGGATACGCTTAATTCTACTGGTAGGTTTAAATTTTCATTTACTGTGATTCAGACACACGATTCTTATTATTTTTGTGCAGTTCCTCAAATCGTGAAATTGTGGAAGTCGTTGAAGGATCGATTTGGACGCGAAAGAAAAAAGATCAAAATTATCCCTAGCGGCAGTGCAGCTGGGGAGCGTACAAATTGGGCTTGGTACGATGACTTGTCGTTCTTGAACGAGTTCATCACTGAAAGACGAAGGAGCTCTAATATGAACAAATGTTCAGGCTTAGAAACTAAGTTGTCCACACAAGATATGCTAAACAGCCAAGCATCAGTTTCATCAATGGATGGTGGCAGTGACGTCGAATCGCACAGTAACGGCATATTATTGGTTGAATCTCAGCCTCAATATAATATGCAGGCTGCAGATGGTATGTTACTTCACTTTCCCTATTTACGACTTTATGTCTAAATTTGTTACCGATTTAAATGCAGATTCGCGAGAAATACCATTTGCAACAACCCCATCTTCTGTACCAACACAGCCGGTGAGGGGTATTATGAAGAAAAGTAAAAACATATCACAGGCACGCGAGCGTGCGGATATACCTGCTGACCTCCTTCCTGATGGTATGTACCTACCTAAGTAAACTGTGTTAACGTTACTTCATTTACTTACTTATTCATATAATTTTATTTATTTAAATTAATTAAATATCATTAATTTATTTTACAGAAGTGATACGCCCTTCCACGTCTACCAAGCGGCTGGTGGAGACGCCGTCAACCAAGCGCCTCGAAAACACTCCGAAGAATCTTCTAAAAATGTCGAATGCAGTTGATACGTGCATTCTGGACACACTGCAAACTCTTAACAACAGAAAAGTCTGTGAAGAGTCCGCTTTTGGAGAGTTGGTGGCTACTGAACTGTCCCGAATTAAGAATACCTCCAAGAGGAGGGAATTAAAACGAAAAATTGTAGAGCTAATTTATTCAGAGGACAATTATTAAATTATGTATTCAAATTATAACCATTGAACAAAATTAAAATTATTAAGCTATGTCCGTTTAACATATTCAATTTGTCCCTGTTTAAAACCCGCAGGCGTCAAAAAATATTTAGCTAGATTATTCCTCATTTGATTCGTAGTAAATGAGGCATTATTGCTGCCCAGTCTAGGACATGGTTCTAGGCTGCAACCTTCTACTTCCTGCCTCCACCGTCCCAAAACATCTTCATTGTCCACATAATTCGGTGGGGAATAGCGGTCCCGTGCTGGTAGCGAGCGTCTTATAAAATTATGCAAGCATACAGTGGCCTTTATTATGCTGTCCGCTGTGCCAGGTGATGCACAGATTGCTCGGTGAAAAATTCTCCATCTTGCAACTAATATGCCAAACGTATTTTCAATTACACGTCGTGCTCGCGATAACCTATAATTAAATACTGCTTTCAACACATTCAGCATTTTTCCCGAAAATGGACGCATTAAATTTTCGCACAATGGAAACGCCGCATCACCGACAAAAAAATATCCCATCAACTCATTTCTACCAGGCAATACATCTCGTCCTGGTAAAGGCATTGTTCCATTTGATAATCTTTGTCCAAATGTGGATGAACTAAAAACGCCTCCATCACTAATGGATCCATAGGCTCCAATGTCCACGTATATAAAGTTGTAGTCGGCATCGCTAACTCCCATCAAAATCACGCTAAAGAAGCCCTTGTAGTTGTAAAATAACGAACCACTTTTAGCAGGGGCGGTTACTCGTATATGTTTCCCATCGATACTCCCAATGCAGTGTGGCATGTTCCAGATTTTCCAGTAATCGCCAGCAATTTTTTTTAAATTTGCATCAGTTGGTTCTGACAATACGATTGGAGATAGTACATTCCATAATACTTCTAGTACTTCCTGTATGACTACACAAACCGTTGATTTTCCGATATGGTAGCTGTTGGCAATTGAAAAGTAGCTATCTCCAGTAGCTACAAATCTGCATAGAATACGCAAATAATATAGGTATTCTTTAAAAAATGTAAAAGGGTATTTACGTACCTCAAAGTGATCAGTAGTCGTTGACTTGGACTTAAGGACTTTCGAATACTTTTCTTCAGCAAATTAGGACCGACTAAGGATAATAGATGATCGAATAATGCTGGAGTCATCCTGGTGTATGAAAAAAACCATTCTTCATCATGCAGCTTCATTTCTAGATACAATCGCTTAAATTCTCCCCTTTTCTCTCGGTCTCGATTTATAGGTCTGACCCACCAGCGCCGTTTTTGTTGTGTAACAACTTTGTCTCTCTGTCTTCTTAACAGCAAAAGCAATAAAACCGATGAAATTTCCATCTCAGTGACACACACAATATACACCACACTATGTTCTTGACGTTTTGCCGAGTTTAAATTTCGGATTTGCGCCTACGCAGATAATTATAATCTTACGGTCACTGTGAACACTTTCTCCACCTGCGTAAAATTATGTCTTATGTCAATATTATGTTTTATGTATCTGTTATGTTTTTGTAACGCTTATGTCCATTGTGAACAAGCACTAAGTTTTCTTTTAAAATTGATTAAATGATTGCTATTGTAATAATAGGGTTATAGATTTATGTGCCCATGCGCACACACCTTACAATACAACGAGCGGCGGCACGTGCTCTTATTTATCGAGCCGTTCTTTGCAGACCATTACATTTGGCTATTTGCCAATAACAACAATGAGCCTGAGGGACGAGGCTTGGTGGACGCTCGAGTAGGGCCGTAAGTGACTATAGTTAAGAGTTGTAAATCTAATCATTACTACTTTCAGGAGGTACCAACAGCCATGCTATAACTGTATATAACTAACTAACTGTACAATTTTTATACTTATATTAATAAATACAATGTTACGAATAGACTACTCGGTGGTTGTATAATTACGTGCAGGAGTACGTGCCACCAGTAAGTTTTCTTTTAAAATTGATTAAATTGTTGTCACACAGTAGAAAATCAATGAATGAATTTATCCAATTTTTAATGACTACATAATTATAAATCGAGAACAAATTACTCATGGAGCTAAACTCAAAATCTAAGTAGTCATCTTCCTCCCGATATTGGTAAAATAGCCTTGTACTATGCAATCACGTAATTGTGTAATGAGAATTTCTAACCACTGACAGGATTCTGTGGATGATCAAGGTTCTGCACGTGTTAGTGCTTTGCTCACCATAGGGTGTTGTCAGGAGGATATGACGCCAAGAGTATGAAGAGTTAAATAGCAGATGAGGATTGCTAAGCGGACGGTCGGTAGTACACAGTGCCATACAATAGTTATAATCTTCCTACCAGAATGCAAAGGTAAGATTTTGTAATATTTGCTTCAGCTTACAGATAAACAATAAACCTTTAAACAATGCAATTCTCTATCTGTAACTACGATCCCCAATTATAGTCACGTCACCTCTCGTATGCATAGAGCTACCCCCTAGACGTGACACTATTCTGTTAAGTGCCTCTGCCAAATTCACAGATGTGTGGCTTTCAGGAAAAATTGCACACTCTAGAAGCACTGAGTGAGGTTTGAAATCTGCATCAATAAAATGCGCAGTTACCGCCATAAAATGTCGTTGTTTCTTGAACTCCAGCAGTCCGTTGTGATACATGCTTTCCTTACTCCCGAAGTGACGTCTTTGGTAACAGTCTTACACTTCTCGTACATAAAAGGAATTAGAGTTTTTGATATAGTTTTACGAGAATGCAAGTCGTAATTTGGATTCAGCTTCTTGACGAAAGCTCTAAATCCCTTGTCCTCTACAATACTAAACGGTTGGAAATCTGTTATAAATAATTGAAGTAAAGCATCACCTATTTGTTTCTTTGTCAACTGGGAAATCTTTTTTGGAATAAAACTAGTCATTCTTTGCTGTACGGTTGTCGTTGAATGAAGTTTTGGAACATGCCGTGGAGTTTGTTCGGCTGTAGTAGCAGTAGTTGGTGTTTCTTCTGGTGCCTCCTGAACTTTTGCATTCTACAATTCGATAGGAAATTTAATTATTAAGGATGCACGGTTTATTGTACATTCCATTGTAACTTACATCATTTGCAACTGGATCTACTACATCGAATTTAACAGTTGGGTGCTTTCTTTCTAAATGTCGTTTTAGATTAGATACAGAAGTCTTGTAAGACAATGTTTGTTTACAGATGTCACATTTTGCAAAATTTCCGTCAATGGGGGTAAAAAATTGCCATACTTTACTAGTTTTCTTTTTCGCGTCCATTGCGCCACATAAACATAAAAGGAATAAATGAACGGCAATCGAATTATCAAATAACTGAATCTGAAAACTGGGAGCACCTTTTGCATTTAAAATATAAACTGAAGCTGAACTGGTGGGTCGCTAAATCTTGTAAAATGTAAATTCTGAACGTGGAACGTGCAATTGTGCATTATCGTCAGATTTCAGATAAGAAACGGAGATATAAGAAATACGTTTATTTATATTTTATTTTCTTGCTACAGTTTTAAGATTCCGAAGCGTCAGCCGTGTTTGATGTGTTGGCCTTGGCGTGGGAGCGCTATCATTAAAATTAATTACCGCTCTTTGGTGTTCATGCTGTTTTGCCTGCGAATTGCGAACTGTGAGTCAAGTCAATGACTAGACTAGCACAATTTCCAATCCTATCACTGTTACAAAGTCACTGGTTCCGGTCACAGTGATTGGTCCGGAGCAGTCACACATCACTGTGACTATGAAATCACGGTTTGGCACATCTCTAGATTAGGCACGTTTAAATTGTTAAACCACCACAAAAACTCCGTGGCTTGAAGCCAGACAGTAGTTAAACAAGGAGAGTTCTGGCACAATGTAAATCTCCATAAGCGCAATGTATTTCTTATGGGAGATTTCAGTGACAAAAACTCACTTTTTGGATCGGTCTTGATTGCGGTGTTTTTTGTGGGGTTGTAGATGTGTGTTTAGGGGTTAGTAGATGTATGGGGGGTGGTTGTTGATGAGGGTAGTAAGAAAAATAAATTTTGAGATGTCTTAGTAAGACGAGACGGGTCTGCGGTGTTTTTTTTTGTGGGGTGGTAGATTGTGTTTGGGGGTGGTTGCAGATGTGTTTAGTGGGTAGTAGATATGAGGGTGGTTGTGTGTTAAGGGGTAGTAAGAAAAAATTGGCCAGCGCGCGATTTCTAATTTTAGTTTCTGTTATTTTAGTAGAGCGCGAGTGTAAATGTATTTGTTATGGGATGAGATTTTGTGTACAAAGTTGCGAAAATCTTCATAAGTGCAATGTATTTCTTATCTAGAGATGAGTGATTTCGTGTATAGTATGCAAGTATGTGATACTTTTGAGGTTTTCCTGTTGACACATTACGCATCATTCTGTAAGTGACGATTTGTTATGAGAAAATGATGAGTAAAATGCGTGTAATATCCACAATTGATGACATTATTGCGGATTATTAATCCTTTTTATCAATAAGGGATGTATGCATCCGCGATTTTCTCCTATAAAAGACAATTTCTAATGTTAATTATAAAAGTCGCGCTTACATACAATGGCACTAAACTTGACAAAATGCCAGTGGTGGCATCTGCAGGTGCATCAATTTGTGCCTGAGGTAAGAAAACTATATTATGCTTTTGAAAATTAATAATAATTTATAATTTTGCAGGGGTATATTTTATTGTGCCCGTGTGCTCACAATATCCACTATAATGAGCACAGAGATCTACTCCTATACATGGAACCTTTCTTCGGGGATTATTTTAGATGGGTGTTTACGAACAGTTTGCCCGAAGGAAGTGGTGTTGCCTACTGCAGAGTAGGACCGTAAGTTGTTGTTTTGTGCTTGTTGTTGAAAATTATTTACAATTGTAATTCTCTTTAGCGTGTCTTAGTTATAAATGTAATATAATTCTTTTTCCAGACGAATCTGCATCTACAATGTACAGAATTGTATATAGGAATAGGAAGGAGAAGCAACGACGACGACGACGAC